TTCAATAGTAGCAAGTGTTTTATGTTCTACATCAGCAGTGTCTTATCCTGGCCTTTTGGATCCAATGACCTTCATGTTTTAGATACGTTTCCACTCCAGTAAAACAGATTGAAATGAGGCCTTTACCTCTTTAGCAGCCATCAGTGCTGCAGGAATCTGTTAATCACCCAACTACGGTATTTAAGCCAAGGGTGCCGTACCAGGAAAACAGGGAACCACTGTGTTATTGTATTTTATAGAAATCATATATATAAAGAAATAATCTAATAATGTTATGATATGTTTGCTTACATCTCATGATTCTCACAGATAGCCTAAAGTGTTTTGAGTAGAGTCAAGAGTGAACAGCTGCAGACTGGAGAGTGGTACAGTATTCCAAAATAAGGCCTAATTTTATGTTGGTAAAATACAATAAGACCCACTAAATAAAGCAAAAGATTTTGTTTCGGTCCTTGAAATCTAAAACATTGAACATGAATATTTTTGTAGAAAAATCAATCAGAAAAATGTAAGAGTTAAAAGAAATTATATGTCATATAGGAGGTCAGCTTGCTTTTGTTTTCTTTTTTCATATAAAACCTGAAAATAAGTGCAAATAAGATGTCAATAATGTAAACAACTAATTTCAATTGCAGACCAAGTTATATTCATAAAATTAAACACAAAATTAACAGATGCATTAGAGATTATTTAAGTAGTGAAATGCTGGTTGCTTATTTATTTATTTAATGCTGTCAAAATTCATAATTGTCTCACAGGATTACACCCTTCAGTGAACACATGGTCTATGTTAAGACATTTATGCTATACTCTGTATGATTAGTTAAAAAGAGGAAATCAACCTTTTAAATCAGCAATGTGCTAGTAAAAAATGACGTAGCACAAGATAAAAATAGTAATGCTTACATCAATACTTTGTCCATTACAGGTCAGCTAACTGTCCTACTGAACAGTTACAAAGCTGTTCGTTTTCGATCTCTCCAAGCCGATCAATAGGGAGGCATACTGTTTCAATTTTGCAGGCATTGATTTTCTCTATCACTCCGACCCAAACGCATTCGTCTTTCTGAAGGAAGGAAGATTTGATTTACTGAAGAAAAATTGGAGTGCACATCACAAAGATTTTTTGCCAGGCAGGAGTGTGACATGCCAAAAGATGGATGTCCCTTGGCTGGGAGGCCTCTAGCCTAAGGGTGTCCATTAGAGAAGCGCAGCAGCAGAAAATGAGCTGCTTATATGAGGAAGGAGGAGCAGAGGGAGAAGAGCTGCATTTCAGGAAAGTCACTGTAGGTGAGGCTAGATGGAAGAAACTGAAAATAAGAAGGATGCTGATGCAAGCTTTTGTCTACAACCTGAATTATGTTTCCATTTGTTATACAGAGAATTGTTACTCAAAAAGGTTGTAGAAACAGTACTAGCACTGCTTTTACATCAGATTCAGACCTCATTTCTTTAGCTGCTGCTTTTTATCCCCCCATTTTCTATTTTCAGTGTGAGTTTCTATGGTACATTAGTCAGCCTATTAGAATACAATAAGGAGAGGGGAGAAAGAAAGGAGCAAAGCCTGTCCCCTGAGACAGAGTCGGCGTGCTCCATCATCTGCCCTCATCTCACTTCTCTGTCTGTCAACTTTGTCCAGGTGTCATGTACATGAGATGATTCCTGACCCAAATAAACACTGCAGCAGGTTGGATCCTCAGTGGACACAGCTCAAAATAGGGAAAGGTTTAAAAAAAAAAGATGGAAATGTAGGAATGGGGGAAAAATAATGTGCAATTTGTTAGGTCTATGGCTGTTATTTGGTGCTGCCTTTGCACTAACAGTGTCCACACAGGGTACTGAAGGGTCATGTTAATGTGTTCATTCTTTTTGAGCTTCCCAACATTTCTCATATAAGTAATAAGATTTTGTGCATTTTATTGGGACTTTGTTATATTAAGCAACACAAGATTAAAATAATATTTTGATTAAAGATGATAAATAGTCAAATAGACATGAAAAGGTTTTTACAGGATTTACTGACCCCAACAGGTTACCGTTTTAATTCTTTAATTGACCTATAAATGTCTGGACTTGCACCCTTATACTGTATCTGTCCATACTAGTTTGAGCTTATGTTCCTCCTCAGGCTCTAAGATCATCTGAGCAGCTGCTTTTGTCTTCTGGGGAAAAAAAGTAGAAGCATTGAGGAGATGGAGCTTCTTTAGTCATTGCTCCAAAAACTCTGGAGCAATCTCCCATCCAACAAAGGACAAGCCTTTTAAATTCCCATCAACATTTCTTTTAATAGCACATCAGTATCCCCCTACTTATAACCCAGAGTGAGCTGTTGAATTATTCTTAAGAGCTATTTTATGTTTTTTTCCTGTTTTTTTGTGTGTATTCTGGTAATCTCACCAATCATGTTGGTATTTTTAGATTAATGTTGGCTTAACTAAATTATTAAAAGTAAATTTTGAATAAAAATCTAAATAGTGTGGCATGTATTAATATCCAGCTTCAGGTACGGATCAGTCGTGGATAAAGGTGGTACAGGTTCCCGTTCATCTGGCCTGGCTGCTGGTCCACTAAATTGTTGCAGATCTGGCAGGACCAAAGGCGCCTATTGGCTCACACTTTTTTCTTTTTCAAATAAACCATCAATGGCGTTTGTGGATTTCATACAGGCCTTCTTGCTGAATACTCCACAGACCAAGCTATCAGTTTCTGAGACAGTTTGAGCCTCCAACCTGTTTAATTTGGAGCGGAAGATGCAGTCCAGAAGTAAAGAGCAGTAGGGAGAGAGAGGATAAACGGAAGAGAGAACTGGAAAATACTGTCGAAATAATGTTAGAGGTCAGACATACACAATGATGAAACAGACAACCAACTTAATGCAAAAATCAGAGATACCTACAAGACTATTGAGATGTTTTTATAAAATCTGTAAAATTATGCTCTGCTTTTTGTTGTTAATTTCCAATAAACTGTGTTATTGCGTCTTTGATGGCATCTTGAAATTTATTCATGTTTTGACGAGAAAAAAACAAAAAACAAAGAAAGAAAGAGTAAATGACAGAACTTAATAGATATGAAAAACAAAGTGCAAGGAACGAAGACACAGACGGAAAGAAAAAGGAAACCGACGAAGAGAAAAATCACCTAACACCTCCGCTCTCTAGAGGACCAGGCCTCTGTGAGCTGGATATTAAGACACCAATTGCATTCAAGCGGGTCACACCATGTCAAAAGATGTTAGATGTCTGCCGTGAGCAAACAACAATTCCCATCAGCTCACAAGAATATAATATTTTCATTTTCAGATTCTTTATTAAATGGGAACTTTGGGGAATAGGTTTTTATGGCATGATGCAGGAAGGTTGGGTTTTAACACCTCAGCTGCAAAAGAACATCATCGTGTTGTCTGCGTGTTGGTGGACTTCAATTTCACAGCTGGGAAAAGCGATGTGTGTTTGTCTATGTAATCTTTAGGCGAACATCTTGCACACTTTTTGTGCGAGTTTAGAGCAAAAGCATTTTCCACCGATGCCTGCAGGTATACAGGTGTGGGGAACCTTTTTCCCCCTCTCTCCGCTTTATATTTGTTGCATTTGCAGCACCAGATGTTTCTTTTAGGCATGCAAACCCCAAGTTCTGTGGTGCAAAGCTGCACCACCTGACCTTCACAGTAATTGACCAAAAGTATTGATGTAATGGCACAGGACTGATTGTGATTTATTAAAAGAGAGCTGCACTCTAAGGCCCAGCGGCAGTGGCTCCCTGCACCTATCGGCAGCCATTAGGAAAGCCATCAATAGCACAGCAGCGTAAAGGATCTGTAATGGGGAGCTTTTCAAGCCCTGGCTCGTAGAACACAATATCCATACTAAATGGCATCGGGTTATGTGAGTATACATGAAGTAACAGAGAGAAAGCAATAGAAGGAGCAGACAAAGGGAGATCGACTGGAGAAGGAGAAACATATGAAAAATGGCTAACTGTATAAGGATACAGGAAAGAAAACAAAGGCGGCCGCAGATAGCCTCCTGATCCAACCTCAAAATAAGCCCTGCCAGACGAGTCTCTGGAGACTCGGTTCAGCTTAACAAGCACAAGCCGTCTCCAGCTCGCCATTACACACTACCTACACAAACAGCCATCATTAGGGAATAGCTGCATTGGTTTCTGCTGCCCATTTGGCGAAACAAACACGCAGGATAGGGTTGCCTCTGTTCCTAATGGGAGCCGTGCTTGTTCAAATGGCTTTCATGTCTCTCTCAGGTCAATGCATCATTCTGCATACAGCTGACAGTTTCACCTTTGCTAATTTAATATCAAAATGCTGCGACTATTAAAGGGAGGCAGAAATAATACAGAAAAATATTGCAGACTTAATACTTTGTGAAGCCAATAAATGTATCAGATGAATCTTTACTTTTTTTTGTCTAAATTATTTCAAAAATAATATAATTATTCTTTTGTACCATTAAATATCATTGCTCCTCAGAGCTTGAAAAAAAAGGGCATAAGCTTCATAACCAGAACAAATTAAATGACGTCTTATTATTACAGAAAACAAAGGAAGCATCTAAACAGGTTAAAGAAAACTGACAAAAAAACAAGCACATATAGGATAGGCATCTAGAGGAGGGAGAGAGGCACTAGACCAAGGCAAGGCGATTGTTGGGAGAATGGGCATTCTGGTGTCTTAGGGACTGAAAGTATTAATGCTGCTCAGAAAGGAACAGATATTGAAACATTAATCCAGAGATAGAAGTTAAAAGGGAAACTTTCATCTCTATTCATTTTCATTCCTTCTTATTTTAACCTTTGTTTCAAAATCTAAATCCACTCTGACATGTAAATAAGTATTTACAATAAAAATCAAAAATGAGATTTAAATCACCTGGTGTCTTTAAATATATGAGTTGGAGAACAAAATGTGTTAGAATGGATCCAATCATATAAAACTGAGAGGATAGCAGCAGATCTTTTTTAATTTTGGAAAACTTTTGATTTACCTGATAGACACATTTCCCCAGGCTCCGTGTTTGTCAGTCAGAATGTTGATTATCTTCTGGATGAGCTGAGTGGAAGTCATGTGGTCACGAAATTTGGCAGCTCTGATCAAATGGTCGCACATTTTCTCCTCATCGCGCTTTTCTGCTGCATACTGAGCACAGTTGGACTGGAAGAGAAGAAAAATGAACGAGTTACAGGAGGTGCACATCAAGGCCTATTATACACAACTTCTCTAAAGGAATAAGTATTCCTGAAATCTTAATATCTATAATCTATAGTTAGATACAGAAATAAAGACGTACAGTAGATCAGAGAAGCATAAAAATGTGTGACTAACAACGTATTTTAAATAAACTTCAATGGGAGCAGAAAAGCAGAAAAGTGCATAGGTCATTTCTGGCCTGGTGTCATGTTGATTAATAACAGTGGACATGCATTTTCTAAAGCCCTGCAGCACAACGAATCACACGATACCTGAAAAGCACAGGAAGGACATTTTTCTCTGTCAGAAATGTGCTATCAGAAAAGGCCTTTGAACTCTACAGGAACACCTTCTGAAATGAGCAGCTATAATCTAAGAAAATAGTTTTCAAGGCTTATATCTATTTCAAAAACATTATTTTCTTTAGATATACATTAAGTGCTTGTAGTTTAGTCACAGCCCTACAGATTCAGCTCAGCTTACTGTACATAAAACTCTGTGCATTTTAGATTATATATTTGGTATTATGTTATGCAAGACCAAACCAAAATCAATGCAATTCTTACTGTAGTTTTACATCTTTGTTCCTTAATCTGTTCCTGGTCCAAAAACTGATAAAGTATCTATAACCCAAAAAAGCACGTCTGAGAAAAATGTGCTACATTTTTCCAAAATTACCCATAAATCCCTTTATAAGAGGCCCTCCTCTTCAATTTTGAAGCTAACATTTCATATCTGACAGAAAATCTATAGGTATAAATCACATAAGAGCGGTTGTTTTGTAGGCTGTGTGCCTTTAATTATCAATCTATGTCTCTTTATGTGACTTTAAAGTGGGACTTGACCTTCTGGCATGACGAACCAGCAAGTAAGTAAAAGGTTCAAAGTTTAGGCCGAAACATTAAAGCTTTGAGTGTTATGTGCTGCTGATTGATTCTTCTTTAAAGGCTGAAGACATGCAAGGGTTAGAGGCAGTAGAGAGCCAGACTAAAGGACTAAACCCTGAAGCTACAATCAAAACTAGGGGTGTTCCTTCTTTAATATTCCTTATTTACTTTTTTTTTCAGTTTGTTGACAAATCTACCATTCAAAATTCATTTAAATTAATGATGCAAACATTTTGTGCAGATTTGCTGAAAACAAAATCACATACACATACAGTCACAAAGACCATCAGTCTATTTCATTGGCTGGACTGCATCAGCAGCATGTTATACACATACTGCATAATACTGTACATTACCATGTACATATTTTTCCTCCTTTTAGGGCAGGCGAGTGGACAGACCGATACATGGAGTGCAAAAGGGAGGATCTACAAACCTCATATGGATAGACAGAAAAAGATTGTTGGGCAGATAGATAGCTAAAAATGGATGGGCAGACAGAAATGGAGAAAAATACATTTCTGTGTTAATCTTTTACCACTTTGTCCTCACCTAAAATACTTCAAAGGTGAGACTTATTACCCAAAAAAGGAAATATTACTTAAAAATACAAAATAAGGAGTCCATTTCCCTCTGCTTCTGCCACTAACATGTTGGTTCTGCAGCACTAATCAGTGGTGTTGGGTTGAAACTCAAAACCATTAAAAAAAAAAAAAGAAAACATCATCACCCATGTGTGGAGCTGGCCCAAACAGCCAAACCCTCCCTGCTGTAATGGGCTTTTCTTATATTCAAAGCCAAAGTCGACTATGAGGGGAAAAAAGGCCAAATTCATAGACTCAGCCCTAAAATAACAACCAAAGCAGCTGAATATATTACATTAAAAAACAGGGTTGGGTTTGCCTGTAAGTGGAAAAGACAAGTCATCATTTCAAGAAGGACCTTTGTAATGATAATATGAAAGCTGAAGTTAAATTCTAAATATTTTATGCTGCATTCTCGTCTTCAAAGGTCCAATAAAATAATTATCTATTCAAAAATGCAAGTTATTCAGTGCATGACTTTGATTTAAACAGCTCTGTTAAATCTTGAAAGTAGAACCGGATTCTTTTTAATGAGGGAAAAAAAAAAGTCAGACACAGATATTTTAAAAACACACTAAAACAAGTTGGGGTGTTTTCTGCGTTAAGCAGCTTTAACTGAGGCAAAGGGATGTCACACTACGCTCTGTCAGCTTCCTAAACAGACAACCACAAGGGCACAACTTGCTGGCAGGCGGGACCATTATGACTTGCGACACTGTAATCATGGGCAGCACCTTCCATTACATGGCCTGGCTGACAGGGTCGTGCATTGTGGATGCTGGCTCTGCTGGGGAAGACAGCTCAGTGAAGACAAAATTATAATGACTGGCATTAATCGAGTCAATTACACAGAGCCGCGTCTCCAACAATCCATCCAAGGTTATATGTGCGTGTGTGAATGTGTTTTGGGGTTTGGGAAGGAAATAGGTTGCTGCTTGAGGTGACCAGAGGTTGAAAAGAACAATAATCAGTATAAAAAACGACAGATTTTTTTCCTTAAACTTGCAAAAAAAAAAAAAAAAAACAGAAACTATTTAAAATGTACTTTTCAAAAACACAAAAGGATGGAACAGTCACAGTTTCAAAACTTGCCCAATTTACCAACAGTGTTCCTGCATTTGCAACTCTGTTTATTAAAATCCCATTAGCAGCGATAGAACCACTCTTATCTTATGCCTAGTGCATTCAGTCAGCAGAGCTGAGAGAATAATATTTGACAGCAGTAAGATGAGTTAAATTATTGCTTGGATTGGAATCAAATTTAAATCAGAAAAACATTTAATGATAATCACAGATAAATTTTAGGACATTTCAATACTTTGGTATTGAAATAGACAAGAACGGGTACATATAGGGTCGAGTAAGAGACCATCAAAAAGTGGTGCTACAACACTGTCATCACTCCAGGAACCTCATCCCCACAGTGATTCAGCAGCAGGGAAGGGGAAGCTGATTTAAAAAAAAACAAAAAAAAAAAAACAGAAATTTTAGTTTGTGAGGCAACAAAGTATATTTATGCAAAGGGGTGAAGACTTTTACAGGAACCATGTGCCTAACCTTTTACACAGTCAGTAGAAAGACAGAGACCATTATCAAAGTACAACTGCTGTACCACACTTTGCTTTATATTAACACTTGATTTCTTGTCAGATGATGCTTTATCTACTCCCCTCATTTCCTCTGCGAGCTAAACAGTTTACCCAGTGTAACAGGCCTGAGAATGGAAGCTCATTACAAGATATAAGCCCTATGTTTATCAATTAGAGTGACAGATAAAGGTCCAGAGTTATTATCGTACCATATTACATCTTCAGCCCACACCCTGACAGAATTAAGGTCTCAACTTCTGTTGGAAAGTCAAAGGAAGAAGAGAAAAGGCAGAGATGTTATTAAAGTGCTTGATTTGCAATATCTTGACACTGGTGGCAAATCTGGGCTACAAGCTTTCAAAGGTTCGTCTATTGCTCTACGCGGCTTTCCAATTTCTCCCATCCGCCGACAAGCACTCCCGGAGGGTTTCATTTACCAACGGGCAGAGAAACTGTCCAGAAGAAAGCGAACCATCATGCTTGTCCTTGTCTTGCATCAGAGAATGCAAATGCAGAACAAATAAATTCCTCCTGAAGCACAATGGAGGTCTAGGGAGACAAGAGGGTGAAATGAGAAAGGAGGATGGGGGGTAGCTAAACAAAAGTACATTCTGAACCAGTCCACCAATTGGTTTCAGAGAGCTTCTCTTGCACTTGATCTCTTGCCCTCGAGTTTTTAAATTGCAACATAAAATGTCACCAGGGGAATTCAGACAATGGGCTCGGGAAGATGCGAGTGAAAGGAAGAGGAGGGGGAGAAAAATGAGGGCTTAAAAGTACAATGGCGAACAAAAGTCACCAAATGACAATGTCTGACAGCTACTTCAATTCTGAAATGATGTCCCTGTCATGCAGTGCTCCCAAGTATTGATTTTTTTTCTCTTCTAAAGCCTGGAAAAAAATAATCTAATCAATTTGAAACATATCCCTTCTGCTGGCAAAAGCCCCAATGCTAGTGGCCATCAAGGTTAAGGCAGGCACTACACTTATCAAAGCATCTCCTTGCTCCGCCCTTCACACAGTCTCTGGTTGTTCTTTAATGGACTCGCCACCATGCATGGCTGCAGGCCTCTTGATCTTTACTACAAAGAAAACATCTTGTCTTTGCAAAACTGCAGCCTCCTCTGCTACTACTAGCTGCAAAGCAACTTTTCACAAAATAGCTTATGCCCTGTTTGAAGGTACATCATAGAAAAAAAAAACATTTGCCATCATCGACAGATGACAAGGAGTCATCTTAATGTAGGAACTTAGGTGTCAATGAGCTGAGCAGCACAACAAAGCTTACACTAAAAATGAAGACAACTTCCACAAAAAGTGCAAGAGCTTTACATGGGCTAAATATGGATAAAAATACATTAAAACATAAAGCAGAACAGTGACAGAGCCTTGTAATGCTCATTATCCTTATAAAACTTTGATCTGGTTCTGTTAACTCACCTTTCGGTGTTCAAAACAAGAGAACATCACTGCAGTGACAAAAGCGACCGTGTCAAAGTGAAATAAAGGCAACAGAGGAGGGAAGTCATATTTTGGGCTTGGTTGGTCACACATAATGATGAGACCAGTGGTGAAGGTATCTGGGGACTTCATTATGATGACAGGAGAGCAGGGCTGAGCAGAGGGTTGTTGGCTGCTCACCAACAACCCTCTGCAGCCTACTTTCTTTTTCTATCTCCTGGTGTCTCAGATATAGCTGTCTGTACCTCACAATGAAAGCAACACCAAAAAACATGTCTGCTTATTATATTTCATCTGACAACAAATTTGTGCTAGACTTTGTATTTTACTGGAATTTTGTTCTCTTATGTAAAGTTACTCGCTTCTTTAGATAATATTCCCTTTTTGTAGAATACAATCCCAGGAATAGGCATGTTGGCACTTTTTTCCTCTTATTCTCCTGA